GTTAGATTTCTTTTAAAAATATTTATTTTTAGAGAGGGGAAGAAAGGGAAGAAGAGAGGGAAACATCAATGTGTGGTTGCCTCTTGTGCACCCCCCACTGAGGACCTGGCCTGCAACCCGGGCATGTGCCCTGATTGGGAATCAAACTGGTAACCCTTTGGTTTGCAGGCTGGCACTCAATCCACTGAACCACACCAGCCAGGGCAAGATTTCTTATTTAAACAATAATAGGTGAGATTTCCCTATTTAAATGAAAGCTAGCCTTCCCGATGCTGTCTGTGGCTGACTTCTAGTTTGTCCTCCAGTATGTTTTTTCCCTTTTGTTCACTGGAATATAGCATTTTAACAGGACACAGAAACACTCAGCTCAAGACTAGGTTTGCCCGCTTCCCTTGCAGCTAGGTGCTGCCAGGTGACTGCGTTCTAGCCCATGGGCTGTGAGTGGGAAGCAAAGTGTGCCAATTCTGATTTTCACCCCTGAAAGACTGGACATTTGCACCCCTGCCTCCTTTTCCCCTTCCTATTGGAATGTAGCGAGAGCTCCAACGGGCACCTTAGACCCCAGAGGGGAAGCCATGAGTGGCTCATGCTGTGTGAAAGAAAAAAGTGAATGCAAGTGTAACCCTCAGAAATGGCATTCCTTGTCAAATCATGTGTGTCCTGGCACATGGCTTTAACTTCCCCGTTGGGCTCGTGGTAGCTATATTATAAAAATATACGTAATGTGATGCCCTGGCTGGTGTGACTCAGTGGATTGAGTGCCCACCTGCGAATTGGAGGGTCGCCCATTCGGTTCCTGGTTGGGGCTTCTGACTGGGTTGCGGGCCAGGTCCCCAGTTGGGGGCATGTGAGAGGCAACCAATCCCTGTATCTCTCACACATTGATGTTTCTCTCCCTCTCTTTCTCCCTCCCTTCCCCTCTCTCTAAAAATAAATTAATTAAAAAAATTTTAATGTGTGCACCTCAAATGCAAGGTTCCTAGGTAATTTTAAATTTTCTAGTAGCTGCAATTAAAAAGCAAAAAGAAACATGAAATAATAATAGAAACATATTTGATAATATTATTGCTATATACTAGGTTAATATCAATGATATTAATGCTATATTAATATATTACTAATATAATTATTTCAATGTTATATATTTATATCTTATTTTATATACAATGACCTGTAATCATATAATACCAATAATATAATTAATAGTATATTTTGGTTAACCCAATTTATCCAAACTGTTGTCTTCACATGTAATACCATCTAAAAATTATTGCTTTTACAATTTTTTTTTTTACTGTGGGTCCTTGAAACAGGGTGTGTCACACTGGGTGTGTGTCACACTGGTGGCAAATCTCACCTCGGACTCGCCACATGCCATTTCGTTAGTGACCACATGTGGCTGGTGGCTGCTGTATCACACGGCGTGAGTCCGGGTCTTGAGGAGGAAGAGACACCAGCATAGAGGTTACAATTCCATTTCTAGAGAGTTATCTGTCTTAAGGTCTTGTACGCAGGCGCCAGGACGGATGTGCGCTGCCGCACAAATAGAAATATGGGAAGCTACCTACAATTCCTCCGGCAGGGAAGAGATTAAATAAGCCGGTTTTAAATGAATGGTGGTTTTAGCATGCTGTGAATGCAAAACAAGCTGTTTTTAAGTGTGTTTACAAAGAAGGTCTTCTGAAAAAAATAGTGATAGAATCACATTGGAACAGTTGATCAAATTTGAGTGCGGACTGCAGATTACATAGACGTATTCTGTTAGGAGTACATTTCCGTATTTCAAAATTGCCATGTAGTTATGACAAAGAATAGCCTTGTCCTGAGAACATACACACTGAAACCCTGGCTGGTGTGGCTCAGTGGATGGAGCCCTGGCCTGAGAACCAAAGGGTCGCCCGTTGGATTTTCAGTCAGGGCACATGCCTGGGTTGTGGGCCGGGTCCCCAGTAGGGGGCGCATGAGAGGTAATCACACATTTATGTTTCTCTCCCTCTCTTCCCCTCTCTCTAAAAATGAATAAATACAATATTTTAAAAAATATATACTGAAGAATTTAGGGCAAGGGGGGCATGAAGTTTTCATCAATGTACTCTCAGATGGTTCAGGGGAAAATGCCAGTAGATACGTGGATATATACATTGAGACCACGTGCATTAGTTTCCTTCTGCTAGCCTCCACGATTTCGTGATTCAGTTCCTTACCACAGATCTCTCTCTTTATGTATTCTTTCACCCCCGCGTTATGTTTCTCTGTCGAATCCCGATGGGTAACGCCCCTCCCCCATACGTATACAGTGGCGGCATACTAAAGCACACAGGCCGGTGCAGCCCTGAGGGACAGACTCCAGGTGGAGCATACCCTTGCCACTTCCCTTTGAGTTTGAAAGGACATAAAAACAAAAAGTTGCAAACACGTTATTCTGAGGAGGGGTTCATCATTTCACCAAGGATCCAGGGCAGGGAAAATGTTAAGAAACCATGATTTAAGGCAGTACGCAACTTTGACCTCGGATCCTGAAACACCAAGGAATATGCCCTGGCCTTCTGAGTCACTCTCGGCGCATGCGCCCCCTAGAGGTTAGAATCGGTGCAACAACCCCGTATTTCTACCCGCACCAAATCGCCCACGAATACCAGCTTATCGAAATCCTTGCTGAGTAACGTAAACCATACACATGGCTTCTTTTGGTGGGACTAAGCTTTGCTGACCATCGTGTGCCCGCCTGTCGATTCCCAAACAGAAACACCACATTTTATTTGCTTTATTTTATTTACTCACTTACTTTTTAAAAGATATTATTTATTTACTTTTAGAGGGAGGAAGGGAAGGAGAGGAGAGGAGAGGGAAACACCAATGTGTGGTTGCCTCTTGTGCGCCCCCTACTGGGGACCTGGCCTGCAACCCAGGCATGTGCCCTGACTGGGAATCGAACCAGCGACCCTTTGGTGCTCAGGCTGGTCCTCAATCCACAAACACCACATTTTTAAAAGTCTTGATGAATACCCTCCGAACTGCTTTTTAAAAAAAATTTGGTGGAGGGAGTACATTTCTGGATTGTTTAAACTTTTGCAAGGTGCACGGGTTACCTTTGCAATGAAAAGAAAGCATAGATCTTTACGGATGGGAGGTGGCTGTTGAGAAATACTATCTGTGGAGGAAAGATGCGGGTGGTGGGTGGCTGAGTGCAGAAGAGCGTGGGAAAAGGGAGCCTGCGCCTGTCCTGGTCATGGTGGCCGCGCTCACTGTGCTGGGCTGAAGAGAACTTCCCGCCGGTTCCATGCCCTGATTCCTGGAGCCTGTGGCGTGAAGTTCTACGGCACAAGAAACTTTACTGATAAGTTTAGGACCTCAGAATGGGACATTATCCTGAACTATCCATGGGGGACCCTAAATGGAATCACAGGGTGCTTATCTGAGGGGGCAGAGGGAGATTGGAGACACACAGCAGGAGAGGAGGAGATGTGATCACAGAGGCAGAGACCGGAGGGGCGGCTGCCAGCCGTGGGATGCTGACCGTCACCCGGAGGCTGGAAGAGGCGGGAAGAGGTTCTCCGGAGCCTGCAGCGGGCCTGTGGTCCTGCTGACCGCAGGATGTTGGACGGCCACCTCCGCACTGTGGGTAGTGGCAGCCGAGATAGGAAACTCATCGGGGCTTGGCCCAGGCTCCAGCACATTTCTGCGAGAACCCAGAACGAGGCTGGAAAGGAGGGTCCTGGTGTGGCGTTTGCATGTGCATGTGCCAACCTCAGAGCTTCAGGGAGGCCACTTAACAGTCCCCAAGCACTGGGCCACTTCCACACACGTGGTTTGCCTCTTTGGGGCCTGAGCAGCCTGGTTGGAAGGCTCGGGCTCACCCTCCCCATCCCCCAGCCCCTCAGGGGAGTTTAAGCCAGTTGGGCCCTTGAGCATCTCTGCTCAGGGGCCCTAGAAGGTGAGAGAGAGAGAGAGAGTCTCAAATGGGGAAACCAAGGCCCAGAGAGGGGCCACATCTAGGTGAGGACAGGCAGTTAGACAGGCGTGAGCGGAGCATGGATGTGGGCCCAGGTGCAAAAGGCCAGCAGGGCAGAGAGCCCCAGATGCCTAGCAACAGGGAAAACAAGGGCCTTGGCCTGCAGGGTAAACTTTCCTCCCCTTGCATATTGCTGGTCAAGCGGTTTAGGCCCCCTGGCTTTTCTTCCCTAAGCAGGACATTGAGGCCTCTACTGTGTTTCAGCTCCAGGCCCAGAGAAGCACCCAAACCAGACAAGCAAAACCATGGCCGCTGCTTTGACTAATGACCTTCTGCCCCGGCGCTAACCAATCAGTAGAGACCACAACCTGGCAAGGCAAGCACACACCTGGACAGCTGATGAATAGTCCATTGAGATTCTCCCCTGAGACCTCCCCTGAAATTCCCTGCCTGCAAGAGAGAAGTCAAAACTCCCAGGACAAAGGACCCAGTCTGCACTCTCCCTCCCTCCCAGGAGCACAGCCATGCCTTCCCCTTCGGCTTCTTCCCCCACAGACAGCATCTCCTAAACTCTAAAGGACCCCAGGAGACTTGCAACAGGGGAGCAGTGGGCAGCAGCAGCTCCTTCTGGGCTCACCCCCTGCACCGTCCCCAAGACCCTCTTTTCTCTGACTCTCCAGTGAGCTAAGGCAGCCCGGCCTGGGCTGTCTTGTTTCTTCTATGCTAAGCCCTTCCCTGTTTTGCTGCTTTAATAAACCTCCCATCTGAGTATGTTTTCCTACGGCCAATACATTCTTGCTTGCTTTACTGCGCTGTGTCTCCCGAGTGAAATCTCTCCTTCAGGAAGGCGAGAATCAAAGTCTCGTCCTCTCGCAGGTGCCACGTTCATTTGGCTTCCTCCCTCCTGGGGCAGGAGGGAATCTCCTTAGTTTTCTGAACTCTGACCTCCCTCCTCTGACCCCCTTCTTTGCCTTGCAGAAGGAGCCCAGCCAGAGTGTCCAGTGTGCAGACCAATGAGCAACTTAGGGGAGAAAGACGGGTCATTTCCTCCCAGCCTATCTGCCCCCTCCCGTTGGGGTTTTAAAAACCACAGCCCTCTGGCAGGAGAACCTTTGCCCAGCTCAGAGCGCAGAGGACTCAGGAGACCTGAATATGGTGAGTCTAGAAGAGGAGTGGGTAGCGGAAATCTTGCTCTCTCGTTTGTGGCTCCTGCCCCCACACCCCCACCCGGCTCACCCTGTCTTCCCTCTCCTCCCTGAGTCCCTCACCCTCAGCCCAGACTCTCCCACTCCTGGGCTGGGCTAAGGAGTAAGATTATTGGGGTATGATCAGGTGTTTGTCAAGGAGCCACCCCAAGGCCATGGGGCTGGGGTCCCCAAACTCTCCAAGGCCGAAAATCTGTGCCTTGGGTCTGGTAAGGGGACTTTTCTTTCTCTAGTGGAGGATCCGGAAAAGGCCTCCCAGGCGGTGGGAGTGGCAGGAGCAAAGGTAGGGAGGCTGGGAAGAGCCAGTTTGGCCCTGGACGTTCCGGTGCTCTGAATTGTAGAGACAGGGAAACTGAGGCAGGAGTAGAGACAGCCCTGCTTCTGAACTCAAGGGGTTTGCCCCTTGAGGTGTTCTGCTCAAGAATGGGACGTGGTTTTATTGCTCGCAACAAGTAAAGGGGATTCATAGCCCAAGGTTTGCCTCCTGGATGGGAGGCTTAGCCATATGGCTCCTGCAATTGACTGTTTGGTCAATTACACGTTGATTTCTTCTTTGCAGTTGGCTACACTTAGCAGATTGGGCTTCTGCCAACCTCATCTTGTTTGCAGCCAGTCTGCAAAACACTGTGCTGTATTTTAACATTTAGCAAGAATAGCATTTAGCAAGAACCGCGGGGACCGTGAGACTTTCTCCTATGTCACAGACCGAGCCCTTCAGTGGTGGGTGGTAGAACCAGGCTGTCCCGAGGACTCTGAATGTCAGAGGGACACCACGCCCAGGCTACAGAGGGAGACACCTGTGCACATGCGCCCCGAGGCCCGGGTCCAGGTGAGGCAGGCCTGTGATTTAGCAGCTGCCGTTGCTAAGCAGTCTCGTCTTGCTTCATCGGGGAGAAAGTGGAAATGGGAGGGCACCCTAGCTGGGCCAGGGTGGGGTCTGGGGTTGCTCCATTCCTCCTCATCCCATTTTTCAGATGCTTCGAGGGCCCACCATTAGCTTCAACTTTTTCTTCTTTCCTAAAAAAAATCTTCAACCAAGGGTACATTTATTGATTGTTGAGAGAGAGAGAGAGAGAGACATTGATGTCAGAGAGTAATATCTGACCGGGGATTGAACCTGCAACATTCTGATGTATAGGACGACTTTCCAACCAACTGAGCCACCTTGCCAGGGCTTGACTTCCTTTTCTTTTTATAAAATAATCCCAGTACCAGAGGGTATGCAGTGAAATCCCCCTGCCCTCCCCAGAGCTTCAGCCTCCTTGTCTTTGCTCCCCAAGTTAACTGTGGACACCAGGTTACGGCGGATCCTTCCAGAAACAGCCCACAGGTGCTCAAGGAAGCAGGCCAAGTCCTGCTCTTCTCTGTGCTCTGAAGTCTTCCTGCTTCTCTTTCCCTTCTCGGCTGTCCCCTACCCGGTCTTCACACAGTAGGCCTAGATCTCTGCTCTGGCCTCCTCTCTGGCGCTCCCGCCTCCAGTCTCACCTACTCACAGCGGCCAGAGGGAATCTTTGAGAACTGATGGATAACCGAGTCCCTCTGCAGCTCAAAGACCATCTGTGGCTCCCCATTACTCTGATTAAAACACACATTCTTTAACCTGGCACCTGTGGCTCTTCCAACCTCCTCTTGGTCACCCTTCAACTTCGCTGACCTTCTTTCATTTTTTGGTGTGTCCTGTGGTCCCTCCCTCGGACCTCGTGGCTTCTTGCCTTCCACGCGTGCCTCCCCTTCCCACCGCCCTTGAGGCCCGGTAGCCACTCAGAGAGGGTGCTGGAGTTCGACTCTCAGAACTTCTCTGCCACCTGCCAACTGGGAGGACTTGGAAAGGTGCCTTAAGCTCCCCGTGGCCTCAGTTTTCTCACCTGCGAAATGGGTGTTGCCATAGCAACAACTCTCCGAGGGCTGTTCCACGGATTAAGTGAGATAGTACCCAAAATGGACTTGGACCAGAGCTTGGTGACTATGACTGGTATCCTCGTAAGTTGTGCTTTGTCTCCTCCTTCGCCTGTCCTCACTGCCACCACCCTGGTGCAAGACGCCACTGTCCCTCACCTCTCCACCTCTTCTCTCCAGCTTCCATTCTGGGGCCTTTCTTCCACGAGGCAGACAAGGGCGCTAACCTGGGCCTGGGGAGGTAGGAACGGTAACAGTGCCTGCTCTTCTGGTCATTGTGATATAAATACTGTATTTAGTCCATTCAAGAACTAACACTCGGAAAGCGCTTAAAACACTGCCCGGCGCTTAGGGATGTTCGAGAAACCGCCCAGACCTGCGCGGATTGGCACAGGGGTCACGGGCCATAAGATGCAGCCACTGAAACTTCATTAAAATGACAAAAATCAAAAGTGCAGCTCCTCAGGTGCGTGGGCCACGTTTCACGCACTCCACAGCCACGCAGAGGAGGCCACCCTCGCGGACAGCGCGCGTCTGGGGCATTTCCATCCGCGCAGCGCTGTGGTTTTATTTCCCCAGCACCCGCCTCTCTATTGCGCATGCCCAGTTCTCGGAGCAAGGCCCGGAGGTAGTTTCTCCTTTGTGTGATGAAGAAACAGCCTCAGAGACTCCTACCTAGAATTGTAGAACCACGAATCCTGCTCCCCCCCCACTTGTTTTGAAAGAGAAACATCAGTTTGATGTTCCACCCATATATGCAGTCATTGGTTGATTCTTGTATGAGCACTGACCAGGGATCGAACCTGCAACCTTAGTGTAGCGGGGCGACGCTCTAACCCACTGAGCTATAGGCCAGGGCTGAACCATAGATCCTTCCATAGATTCTGTGTAATATCACATCCGTTTTTTGGAATGGGCAGTGCACACAGAAGACCAATAAAGCATATACCTCGAAAAGCTCTTTCCAGATGCCTGCCCTCGGCCCCTCCTGCCCCTTCCCCAGGGGGAGGGGGGCCCACAGTTACAGGTGTCCCCTGTCTGCTTCCGGAGCTAGGTGGCACAGACACACAGACAGAATGGTAGAAGGCGGGGGGAGAAAGGGGCAGAGAGAGGAAGACAGTTTCCTCTTTTGTTGGTAGATTTACACGCTGTACCTTCATTTTTCTATTTCGCCTGGTTCACAAAGTGGCAAATGCAAGGCCCGAGGGCTGAGTCTGCTCTCCACCTTGTTTTATCCAGCCCTTGTGTCTCCCCCGGGGGCGGGGGTGGGGGGGGCAGCTCTGAGCTCCTTGCCCCTAGTTAAGGAGTGGTTACATTTATACAAGTCCTAAAGTTACATTCGGCCCTTTGAAGGCACCCGCGAGGCTGATGTCAGGGGTTTACACCCCTGACTTGAAGCTCTTATCAGTGCATGAACTTCCCTGTTCTTTTGGTAGTTGCCTGGTATTCGGTTGCCTGGATGGGTCATCGTTCATTTAGACAGTCCCCTGTTGCTGGGCACTTGCGTTACGCCCCATCTCTAGCGATGCTGTAATGGCCAGAGTCTGTGAGTCAACAGCAAGGTCCTCAGTGGAAACCACACAGTGGTTTTGAATCAGCATCTTCTCTCTGCATTCAGCAAGAGGGAAGAGCTGAGTGAGCTTCCTCCGCTGCTGAGAGTGGGGAGGACGAATGTGGGTGTGCAGGGAGGCTCCGGGTTTGGGGTCTGACGCATCCTGCCCTCCACGATGGCGAAACCCTTAGCCTGCTGTATCACACCCGTGCTGACCTCAGTTTAATATATGTAACAACCTGCACAGCCCCCACCCCCAGCAGGGGGCGCCCCTGCTGGGGGTGGCATTAACCCTTTCATGCCTGGAACATGGGCACCTGGAGGGGGAGGGTCCCAGAGTAGGAAATGGGAAGATGGTGCCTCAGGAAAGCTCACGTCCAACGACGCAGTGTTTCCCGTCTCCACTGTAGGAGCCCAGTGGTCGGAATAACTTCCTTAAGAGGGAATTTGTTTCTCCCGCCCCAGGCTGCCGGCTCGGTGGTCCCCGTTCATCGGACCCAGTCCTTCACCCCTTCCTTGTCTTGGTGACGCTGGCATATTTTTGAGTTGGACAACACTCACCCAATACGCAATTTGCCATTGTCAAGTGTACACGTTTCTTTCACCCCTGGCAATCCCTAACCTGCCCCCTGGTCTCTATAGATTAGCCTTTCTGGATGTTTCCTATTCATGAAGTCCTACAGTATGGGACCTTTTGTGTCTGGCTTCTTCACTCGGCAAAGGTTTCCGAGCCTTGGCCATGCTGTACCTTGTAGCAGTGTGCCGTTCCTTTTTCATGGCTGAATAATATTCCACCACGCAGATACACCACACCCTGCTCATCCCCTGATCAGCCAGCACTGGCCTTCTCCCTCGACTAATTTCACCACTGGTGTGGTTTTACTGGCAAGCACCTGTGACGATCAGTCTGGCCGACTTCACGGTAACGAAAAGGGACCAGAAATAAAAAAATTGGTTCAGAGAGAGAGCTCAGTTCTTCGGTAATCATAATATTGATCGATAATAATAGCGCTGGCTGCCGTTTCCCGGGCCTTCCTGTGTGCCAGGCACTGTGCTAGGTGCCTGACGTCTTTCATCGATGAGGTGGCTGTTCCAGTGGACACCGACCTCAGCCCACACATTTAGGTGCGCTACACCTCCAACGTTGAATATTTCTCTAACGATGATTTCTCTTTCTATGTCTCCTTTCCTTGGGTTTATGACAAAGTGGCCCTCAGGGATGGGCTAGCTTCAAAGCCCACAGATCTCACCCCTGAAGGGTCCTTACCCTGTCCACAGCCCCCCTTGGAGATGGGCAGGGAAAGCCTGCTAGGGTTTGCACCCCACCCCACACAGGTTTGAATTCCCATCTACGTGCCTCAGAACAGGCATGTTCTGGTGCCTCTGTTTCCCCATCAATGAAATGGGCATATTCATAAAACGTACTTCTAGGGTCACGGTCAGGATGGCATGCCTGGCACATAGTAGGTGCTCACTAAATACCGGCTGCTTATTTGGATCATTCCCGTCCCTGCCTCTGGGACACAGGTTTGCCTATAAGGCTTTCTCCAGCCCACCTGCCACCCTCAGCACCTTTTTCCTTTCTGGGCCGGGACAGTTCCCGGCAGCTCTGCCTGGGAGGAAGTGTTCGGGACCTCTCTGTTCCTTCTTTCACTGGAAAATTTCAAACATACAAAAGGAGAGAAAATGATATTCTGAGCCCCGAGGGTACTTATCGCCCAGCTTCAACAGCTGTCAACAATCTGTCTTCTTAGTCATGTAGAGTTTCCTCCCTCCCTCCCTCCCTCCCTTCTTCCTTCCTCTTTCCCTCCCTCTTTTTATGGCTGGAGGGTTTTAAAGCAAAGCCAAGTCTCCTGTTCCACCTGCTATGCATCTCCCCCTGCAAAGGCCTTTGCTGTCCTTTTAAAAAAAAACCAGAAGCACAATATACCGTATCACCCTTAATAAAAGTAGCGCCGATTCCTTACTATCCTCAAATGCCCAGTCTGCTTTTAAATCTCCCAGGTTGTCTGCAAACCTGTCTTGTTTTCCAGTCAATTATTCCACTCAGGATCCAAATGAGGTCTGCATGTTGTTGCCTTTGGTTGATATGCTCCCTAAATCTCTTTTAACGCCTCCCTTTCCGTTTTTTTTTAATTTAAAGATTTTATTTATTTACTTATTTATTTAGAGAGGGGAGAAGGGGAGGAGAAAGAGAGGGAGAGAAACATCAGTGTGTGGTTGCCTCTCCCACGTTCCCCATTCGGGATCTGGCCTGCAACCCAGACATATGCCCTGACTGGGAATCAAACCAGTGATCCTTTGGTTTGCAGCCCGCGCTCAATCCACTGAGCTATACCAGCCAGGGCTCTATTGTTTTGTTTTATATCCCGCATATAAGTGAAATCATACAGCTCTTGTCCTTTTCTATCTGACTGACTTCACTTAGCCTGATACTCTCAAGGTCCACGCTTGTTGTTGCAAATGGCAATACTTCATCTTTTTTTTGATGGCTGAGCCAGATTTCATTATATACGTACCACATCTTTCTCCAGTCATCTGTTGAAAGACATCCGGGTGGGTTCCACGGCTTGGCTATTGTAAACGAACATATAGGTACAGGTACATCTTTGCGAATAAGTGTTTCTGATTCTTCAAAATTTTGCAATACGGTCCTGGTCAGTGTGGCTCAGTTGGGTGGGTATTGTCCTGTGAGCCAAAAGGTTACTGGTTCTGTTACCAGGCACAGGCCTGGGTCGTGGGTCTGATCCCCAGTCAGGTGCGTATGAGGCAACCACCGGATGTTTCTCTGCCTCTCTTTCTCCCTCCCTTCCCCTCTCTCTAAAAATGAATCAATAAAACCTTTAAAAGTAAATAATAGAAACTATTTTATTGATTCATTTTTTAGAGAGAGGGGAAAGGAGGGAGAAAGAGAGGGAGGAAAACATCAATGTGTGGTTGCCTCTTGTGCGCCCCCTACTGGGGACCCAGTCCCGCAACCCAGGCACGTGGCCTGACTGGGAATCGAACTGGCAACCATTCAGTTTTCAGGATGATGCCCAACCCCCTGAGCCACACCAGTCAGGGCAATAAAATATTTTAAAAGTAGAGTAAAGAATGACACCAAGACTTTAAAAAAATATATTGCATTGCGATATTATCTGTCTTGCAGACTTGGTTTTTCAGTGCCCCGGCTCTCCCCTCTCCCTTAAGCCTTGTGTCCCAGTACGTGTGGGCACTGCCGCCCCACCGCCTTTTCCAGGTGGCCACGCCCACACAGAGCAGAGCTGCCCCCGTGGGTGAAAGACAGCGGAAGGGGGTGCTCATGGGGCGGGAGCTAACCGTCTAATTATACCGTCTGAACCTCTGGGCGATGGTAAAAATACCTAAGCAGCGGCATGTCCTGGGTGCTGACCCACGACAATGCAGTGTGGCCACAGCCTGCAGCAGGCTTAGGCTGTATTCGGTTGGTCGCTGAGTCGTGGGGAAGCCTGGGGACTTCATGGGGGAGGTGGCAGGGAGTCCAATCAGCATGAAAGGGGTTTTAATACAGGGGTCCGGCACAAATAACGCCCCTGTGTGTTATCAAACCGGAAGCACGTCCTTCTGTAACGTAACAATGTCCCACTGGAGCACCCCATGGGGCAGTGTGGGTGAACAAATCAAAACTATACATTATTACACCCATATTATTACCCTACCAACCACACTCAAGCGAGCCTTCCTTCTGCCATTCCCTATATTTTCGTAAGTGGTATGATCCCCGCCCCCCAGCAGTCCCCCGCAGGGGTCCCCCATTGCCCTGGGGGGGGGGCGGAAACCTGAGGCTCAGAGAAGTGTGTCTGTGTGTGGGGGGGTGGGCTCTCTGACTGGCTGCCAAGACTCACACTCTCCCTGCCTCTCTGATTCCACCAGGACAATTATACCGATTATAACGATTATATCACCCTGGACCCCAATGTGCCCGTGGATCACTCTCCCCACCACCGGGGGCTGAGCCCCCCCCAAATAATAGCCCTGGTGATCTTCTCGGTCGTCTTCCTGGTGGGAGTGCCCGGCAACATCCTGGTGGTCTGTGTGACGGGGTCGGAGGCCAAGCGCACCACCAACGCCATCTGGTTTCTCAACCTGGCGCTGGCTGACCTGCTCTCCTGCCTGGCGGTGCCCATCTTTTTTGTGACCATCATCAAGAATGACCACTGGCTTTTTGGCGGCGCTGCCTGCCACATCTTCCCCTCTCTCTTCCTGGTCAACATGTACAGCAGCATCTTGCTTCTGACCGCCATCAGCGTCGATCGCTTTCTGCTGGTGTTTAATCCCATCTGGTGCCAGAACAACAGAACCACCCACTGGGCCTGGGTGGCCTGCTCTGTGGCCTGGAGCCTGGCGCTGGTGCTGAGCATCCCCTCCTTCCTGTTCCGCAAGGTGCACGTGAGTCACTTCCCGTACAAGGAAAGGTGTGGCGTTGACTACGGTGAGAAAGATAGCCCGAAAGAGAAGGTCGTGGCTACCTTCCGGCTGGTCGTGGGCTTCCTGGGCCCGCTAGTCACACTGGCCGTCTGTTACACCTTCCTTCTAATTCGGGCTTGGAGCCGCAGTGCCACACGCTCCCGCAAGACACTCAAGGTGGTGGTGGCGGTGGTGACCAGCTTCTTTGTCTTCTGGCTGCCTTACCAAGTGACGGGGATGATCATGGCCTTCCAACACAGCAGCACCGACATCTTCAAACGGGTGTCCAGTCTGGATGCTCTGTGCGTGTCCATCGCTTACATCAACTGCTGCATCAACCCCATCATCTACGTGGTGGCCGCCCAGGGGTTCCACGCGCGCTTCCTCAAGTCCCTGCCCGCCAGGATCCGGAACGTGCTGACTGAGGAGTCCGCAGTCAGGGAGTCCAAGTCCTTCACACTCTCCACGATGGACACCTCAGCCCAGAAGGTGTAGGCCTCGTGAGGGGACGCCTCCCGGTCCACGGTCTGCCTGCTGCTCCGCCTTCCTTCTGGCCCATTCTCTCTTGCTTACTTGAGCTCAGGCCTGGGTGTTGCTGGTGTAGTTTGAGCGAACTCTCCTGCATCCTTCCTCATTTCCAAGATCAACAGATACTCCTTTCCGGGGCCACACAATCTGTCTCTTCATCCAGGGACTTTGAAAAACTAACAGACCCTGATATACCAAAGGGTACCCCCAAGAGAGCTGCATGTTTACACTGGTGGAGAGGGTATAAAGAAAATACATCAAAGATGTAGAATACAGAGGAATGGAAGCATTCTAACTTTTCAAAAATAGTTGTGTATTGGGCCCTGGCCGGGTAGTTTTGGTTGGTTGGAGCACCCTCCTGATGCACCAAGGTTATGAGTTTGATCCCCAGTCAGGGCTCATACAAGAGACAACCAATGAATGCATCAGAAAGTGGAACAACAAATTGATGTTTCTCTCTCTCTCTCTCAAAAAAAAGTCAATAAATAAATAATTGTTTTAATGGTTCTGTATTTATTTTATGGAGAGTTGGAAAAAATATTAACTGGCATCTCTAAAGTTATTCATGCTTAGGACAAAGAAAAGGTATGTGGACCTACTAAGCTTTTGTCAGTGAGTTGATTTCAAGAAAAACAGTAAGTTAAAATGTTACTTAAATGGGGTTTTAAAAAGTGTTAAGTAAAAGTGTGGTATGCGGTTATGGAGAAAGTCAAGCGGGAGGAAGGCATTTTGAAAGCCGAGGGAGGGAAGGGAATCCTTGTTCCTGTACCTCCAGGCCATGGGGCCACCGAGGAATTCGACTTTTTATTTTGTAAACTACTGTTGTTAGCACTTGAAAAAATTAAAATACTTCCTATAACCCTCCTGATAGATTCCTGCGCAGCTGTATGTCTAAGACAGAGGGGTCCTGTGTCCTCTTGACCTAATTTCACCGGTAGAAGCATCTTGCAAAACGACCTTACGAAATCGCAACCGGGATGCCCGCGCCCAAACTACGCAGGTGCGGCACAGTTTCACCGCCGGGCACCACGTGACCCCTTTCCCTAGCCACGCCCACCGACCGCCGCCCTCCACAGCCTGGACCCGAACCCCTGCACACCTCCCCACCCGGATCCACCGTCACGTCTGTAATTTTGCCCTTTGGGGAATGTTCTGTCCATGGAATCATACGGCATGCAACTGTTTGGCTTTGTAAAAAGCTACTCTGCACCCCTTATCATGCAAAGAAAATAAGTGTTGGAATGTTGTTATGAATAATTGACTTTAAAACATTTCTGGGTAGTGTTGTGTGTGAGTGTGTATTTGTGTGTTTGTGTGTGTATTTGCCAGAAATGGTGTGCAGACCGGCACTGGCCAACATATATACGATATCAGCCACATAGGTACTTAAAAATCTTTTTTTTAGCTCTGGCTGGTGTGGCTCGGTGGATTGGGCACGGGCCTGCGAATCAGACAATCGCAGTTCGGTTCCCAGTCAGGGCACATGCCTGGGTTGCAGGCCGGTTCCCTGCAGGCCAGTTCCCAGCAGGGGACGCACGAAGGCAACCATACATGGATGTTTCTCTCCCTCTCTTCTTCCCTTCCCCTCTAAAGATAAATAAATAAAATCTTTTAAAAAATCTTTTTTTTAAAGATTTTATTTATTTATTTTTAGAGAGAGGGGAAGTGAAGGAGAAAAAGAAGGAGAAGGAGAGAAACATCAATGTGTGGTTGCCTCTCATCTGCTCCCCAACTAGGGACCTGGCCTGCAACCCAGGCATGTGCCCTGACTGGGAATTGAACCGGCAACCCTTTGGTTCGCAGGCCCAGGCTCAGTCCACTGAGCTATACCATTCAGGGAAGTGCTTTTAAATTTTCTAGTAGCCAGGTTAAAAAATTAAAAAGAGCCCTGGCCAGATGGTTCAGCTGGTTGGGGATTCGATTTCCGGTTGGGGAGTTTATAGGAGATGTTTCTATCTTACACTGGGGCGTGTGTGTGTGTGTGTGTGTGTCTCTCTCTCTCTATCTCTCTCTTCCTTCCTCTCTCTCTAAAATCAATAAACATATCCTTAGGCAAGGATTTAAAAAAAATAAAAGGAAACAGATGAGCCCTGACCGGTGCGGCTCAGTTCACTGGGCATCACCCTGCAAAGTGAGAGGCCTCTGGTTGGACTCCTGGCCAGGGCGCCCCTCTGCCTGGGTTGCCAGTCTCAGTCCTGCCTGGGACACGTGGGAGAAGCAACCGATCCATGTTTCTCTCCCTGTCTTTCTCCCTCCCTTCCCTTCTCTCTAAAAATAAATAATAAAAAATGAAAGTGAAACAGATGAAATAGAGTAATATATTACCTAATGATGTAAAATAAATATGTTATATTCACAATGACTAGTGGTATATTATATAAATGTGCATTGTATGATGATCCATATATTATCATACATTTATTAAATATTAAATATATTTAGTCAATTGCTGTTAATTTAACAAATATAGTTATATAACTATTTATAATTCTGTAATATGAAGCTATATCATTATATCACTTATAAAATATGCTATTTCTCTTCACGTCTCTCTTTGAAGAATATATATAACATAATATAAAAGGTTGTCCTTTTTGGGGAAAAAGCACACTGTGCGCGGCATCAGAGGACAGATTTATTTTATTTTATTTTATTTTTTAAAGATTTTATTTATTTACCTTTAGAGGGGAAGGGAAGGAGAGAGGGAGAGAAACATCAATGTATGGTTGCCTCTCATGGGTCCCCTGCTGGGAACTGGCCTGCAACCCAGGCATGTGCCCTGACTGGGAATCGAACCGCAATGGCGTGGTTGGCAGGCCTGTGCTCAGTCCACTGAGCTACACCAGCCAGGGCCAGAGGACAGACTTTAGAGGGCAAATTCTGGCACGAGGTGGTGGTGGACCCTCATGGGAGTGAAGACTTTATTCAATATGATTATTTTTTATAGGAGAGACTCTGGAAGGAATAAATTGCCTAGAAAAGCCAAAAATTTAATATAGAGAGTTATGCTATATAATATAGAAAATATATAACAATACTATATTCATGTTCATAATGTATTTGCATTAATATAGAAGAGTAATATCAATTGTAATAATAACTATAGCATTAATCAATATAACTATTACTAGTTATGTTAATGTTATGTTAATTATAACTATAACTAGCAAATGATAATGTAACTAATTATGTAGTTATAATCACAACTATATCGATAATATATAAATATTAATTGATGTAAGTATTAATATAACTATAACATTAATGGTTACAATAATTAAATTAATTAACATAGTCAATGTATTGATTATATTGATTTTAGGTAATATTAAGAGAGTAATATTAGCCCTGGCTGGTGTAGCTCAGTGGATTGAGCACGGGCCTGTGAAGCAAAGGGTTGCCAGTTCGATTCCCAGTCAGGACACATGCCTGGGTTGCAGGCCAGGTCCCCAGTAGGGGACATGTGAGAAGCAACCACACACTGATGTTTCTCTCCCACTCTTTCCCCTTCCCTTCCCCTGTCTCCAAAAATAAATAAATTTAATTTAATTTAAAAAGTAATATTAATATTATTAATATGATACACTTACATTGCTATATAGTGATATTTAATGTATAAAACAATAATAATATAGTCAATAATATATTTTGCTTAACTCAACATATCTAAAATAGTTTAATTCCAACATGTAATTAGTATAAAAAATTATTAATGAGATCTTCTACCTTTTTTTTTGGTACCCATGAAGCAGGATAGTAAATAGCTAGGAAGATTCCTGGGCAAGCGAAATGGAGAAACTGAGACCAGGAAATAAAACAAGGCCAAGCAGTTGGAGCAACTTACAGCCAGTGAGTGAACCACAAGACCCCATCTGCCCTAACCAGGGATACTTGAGAGCAAACTGTTCATACCTCCCCTCCCTGACCAGAGAATACACACCTTCCGTCTCCCTGGTCTGGAAAATAGAGAGCAGAGAGACCCGGTTAATGGCATCTGTGCCAGCAAAACCCAAGGGCAGATGAAGTCAGGGGAACAAAACCCCGTTAGAGCCAGAGAGACCCAGGATAAAAGGAAACCAGCAAAGCAGACCAATGAATGACCTCAACCCCCCATCCGCTCATTTTGATGCATCAATGTATTAAAAACACACCTGGAAGGCTAATGAATATCCTATTGAAAGCCTCCCCCAAGAATCGCCCCTGGAGGAAAGAGACAAAAACCCTCAGGATAAAGACTCTAGAGCACACCCATGCATTTTCTCCAGCATGAACTTTTTTTAAAAAAGATTTTTAAATTTATGTTTAGAGAGAGGGGAAGGGAGGGAGGAAGAGAGGGAGAGCAACAGCAATATGTGGGTACCTCTCATGCGCTCCCCAGCTGGGGACCTGGACCACAACCCAGGCATGTGCCCTGCCTGGGAATCGAACCTGTGACCCTTCGCTTCACACTGAGCCACACCAAACAGGACTCCAGCATGAATGTTTTTCTTTCTCCTAAACTCTAAGGGTCCCCATGAAGTTTGCAACCAGGGGAGCAGTGGGCAGTGGCAGCTGGCTCTGGGCTAACCCCCTGAACCTGTCCCCAAAGCCCCCTTTTCTCTGACGTTAGTTCACTTCTCTCTCTGTGCCTGTTACTTCGAAGTCCGCTAACAGCAGCCCAGCCTTAGCTCACTTCTTCCCAGTAAAGTTTGTAGGAAGCCAAGGCAGCCTCGCCTAGTCTCTCTCCTAATCTGTCCTTTGTTTCACCGCCCCGGCTTTAATGAAAACACACTCACAATCCCCAGGACTTGCGTTGAGAGATCTTCCCTCCAGGAAGTCAAGAAGCCACCACCCGCCATAGGCTGGCCTGAGGCAGACCCGCTAGCGGCTGGTCCCTGTCCCATGACGCCAAGCCTTCCAAATCCCGAGTGTGAGTGTAACACACAGAGTACGCCTCACTTCGGACCGGCCCATTTCACATGCTCGGGAGCTGGTGGCTTCCGGATTGGTCGGCGTAGGGATGGCTCCCCCACCCTCTCTGTGAGAGCCCTTTGAGTTGAGGGGACGCCCTGCAGTGTGGGGTGCCGGCCCAGGATCTTTCGGATTCCACGCAGTCATGTCTGCCTTGGGCCCGACTTTTCTGTAAAGGTGCTCTGCTGGGCTTCCAGAAGAGGCTGCGTGTGGTTTTCGATAGTAAGTGTTGGTTGCTATGCAGACCCCGCTGGCCAGAAAGGTTGTTCGAGGGGAAGACCTGTGCCCAGCTCCCTGGGTGGGGGGCACCTGGGACCCCAGGGAAGATCCTGGGTGTTCCTTCTACCTTGACTGCCAACATCTCTCCCGCTGCCCTCTGCCCAGGCTGGCTGCAGGCCTAGCGGGTTCTCTCTCTCTCTGCGCCCCCCTCAATTTCTTTTTCTGCCTGATCCTTCCCTGCGGCCCCTGCAGTTTCTTTCTCTGCCCTTACACGTTGGCTTCCTGGAGCTCTCTCTACCGAGCATGCTGCTCCGTTTTGCAATTTCACC